TATTTGAAATCGGCAATGACTTTGTTGCCAACCTAATATTATTTTTTCAATATATCTTATCAACTGTGAAGAATGGTGGAACTTTGCTAACTTTGCCTCGACATTTTAGTGGCACGATTTCATGGCAGACGTGAGCATATCAGCATCGTTACATGTTTCGCGTTAGCTACAAGAGAGGAAATGCCCAAATCTTCCATTTTTTTTAATTTTTGAAACCGTTACATTCTTTACACGTGGTAGCAAAAGTGAGTAAATGTGTTTGAATGAAATGGTTAGTTTTAGGGTTTGTATGCATGAAATTCGTATTACCTGCTCAAATAAGATGGATTTAGCATCGTACTCAGTTCCAATTGGTAAAGATGTCAATAGAATAAGAGATTGACCAGCAGAAAGTGTTGGAGGTGATTCCTTTAAAAAGTTCCGCCAAAAAATCAGAGCATCATATGTGAGCATATCACTCGGATTGGCATGAATCAGTGCAATTCTTCCCTCCTTAATACGAGATAAATTTTGAACTCCGATCAGAACTTCCATACCTAGTGATGGTGACATCAGAAGAACGACGGCTAGATAAAAATGAGATTAATTACTAGGGGTGTCAATGAACTATCTTACCATCAATTTTACTGTCATAAGGTGCTAGAATATTGGCGAACGGCAGCCCAGTGCGAACCTCCCCGCTACTGACAATATTGATAGCCCACTTCTGACGTTTGGCGATATCGAGTGGTAGCGAAATGGACTCAAAGATGGTTGCAACGTCAGTTTGTGCTATATTCGCCTCATAGTACAGGGCAATTTCACTCCATCCCTTGTGTATAAGATAAACAAGGACCGACTGAAGGATTTTGTTTAATTGTACAAGCATAGAAACTGCTGATAAAGTGGGTTCCACAGAATCAGTCGGAGTGTCAACTAAATGCTCAACAAATGCAGACGCATAACCGTTAAGTGGACAATAGTATGATATCTGATAGAGCTGATTGCCTTGTATCTGATCTGGCTCCCCAAGACTGATCCATTTACTTACTAAACCACAATCACTTGGAAGCGGAGGTCCCAACAAGACTGTGAATCCTTCCGTATGTACTGAATTTTCCTAAATGTGCTTTAATTTATGGACACATATACTCACCTCCAACTCTTCGAGTAACTCCACAAGCAACGGTCCTCGTCTAAATTCCATTAAGGAACAACCCTGAATATATCGGTAATTAACGTGGGCATAAAAGAAGGTCTTATCAGTAATTGGTATCGGAGAGCGGACATAATTAACTGCAGACGCTATACTGTTGTAGAAATCGTAGAGATTTATCTCAGGTATACACATAAGATCTGATGCAATGTAATAGAGGAAGAGAAGAATCCTAGACTCATCTTCGTCCTGAGACGCAACGTGGATACTCATGGAAAGTATTAAGATGAGCAGTGAAGCGGGTAACATGGACATGACTTTTGGCAAAATCTAGCCTGTCTGCTGATTATCAAGAGGCAGAAAAAGTTGGACGAGGATGTCTATTTATATCCCCCCACTAACAGGAAACAGTCATGTGCGTGTTAAAAGCCCAGGCAAAGTTCTGTTTTTTTGCGATTCATCGGTATCGTGCCTACCGGAGTCCATTAAAACAATCTTTAATAGAATTAAAGGGCGGAAATAATAAATTTTCTTAGACTACACTTTCAGCACAACAGAGTCAGGGGTATCGAATTCTGAAAGGCTTATTCAGGCTTAATACTGTCCTTTCGATTGGTAAAGGAACACAATTAATTACTTGCGGATATTCCGTTTAGTGGTAGCATTAGCAGTAGACGCAGTCAATCAGAGGGGGAGGAAAACAATTTTCAGACAAGTTCTTTCTTGAAGAATTAAAAACGCAATCCTACTCCTTGCCAATTCAGATTTTCCCTTCTTCGTCGAAAGTTCCATCTCGACTTTTTTGTGCTGAAATGGAGTGGGCAAAAGCGCTTAAATCTCTCTCCAAACGATAAATCCCACCCCCACCCCCCCCCCCCCCCAACTGGTCAACATGTCACTTAGGGAAAGGGTAGAGAAGAGTTGGAAAATCCGAAAACGAATCTCAATTAAAGGCTAGAAATATGCAAATAGCCCGAGTATAACAAATAAAACATTATCCTCTCTTGAGGAAGTTCACAATCAGTTATTGTCCTCTCGCGGGGATAATCTTTTCACCTTGACAGGGACGAATATTGTCGTCAGTATCAGATTCCATGAACTTTTTTCCATAATAATTCTTATCAGCCATCAAGATAAGGAGATTGTGGTTGCTTCTCAATGCGTGCCAACATTACGAAAAGCAACTAGTATGATCTGGAGATTTACAATTTGTATTACTTGGCGGCTGTGGCTAGAGAAAACAACAGAGTAGACAATCTAACTTGATTGAGCCCACACAACAGAATTCCTCTAGTTGCTGCTGTACGAACATTGGAGTACAGGGCTTTGAAGTTCGTTGCCACAGTGAATATAATTTTTTGGCCACTTCATTGATTTGTGCACTCAATGAAGACCTTCGCCACTGCAAGGTCACACAAGAGTTGTAGGAGTTAACTTCACACAAAAATGGCAAAGTGAAATCACGGTGACTAAATTCCCCCCCCCCCAAAAAAATCTCATGCTATTCGGATGTGTGTCTTTCTTCGCCGATGATAATGTGATGTGGCGTCACCTTCCATATTTTTCAAGGGTCATAGATAGTATTCAGATACTTAAGTGAAACTTCTGACCTCTGTAGTGGTTACGCCCTGGAAAAAAGACATTTGGGTAGCCATGATAGGTCATATTTATGCCAACAAACCTCAGCGAGATATGAAAAATGCTTGTCAGCCATTCTGTACTACTTCATGAGCCCCACTCTTTTCCACCTCAGACCCTAATTCGATACTGTACCATGTATGTATTGGGGGGCTTTCAGGAAAGTTATCAAACGCCATGCTAGTACTACAAAAGCAGAATTAAGGCAACTCTTATTGATCCATTCCAGGGATCGTATGAAGTCAGTTTCCTCCAGGTTCTGGAACGGATTAAGACCTCAATAGACTCTAATAAGGGCTATTTTGCTAAAACTCCCTTATAAAGGCTCAATTTTCTTGCTTATTAACATCTGTTAAATCTATTGACTTTTCTAATCGCCAAAAGCTCTTCTTTCCTCCCAACTCTGAAACCCTTGAGGTGAGAAAATTCAAGCCCAAAAGAGACTACCTTTATTCGACTTCCGAGTTTTCAAACCCTTCTTAATTCCTATTATTTTATTTCCTCTGTAGTGTAATGTAATGATTTTTCTCCTAGATTTATGAATTTAATTAACATCAAGAAATTTAAAACGTGTTAAGTAGTTGACTTGATTCCGTGGGTGGTAAGGCAACAACGATTTAGTCGTGTCTTTCTATATCGGATTTATAGATGCGCTTATTCACATATTCTGGATAACTTTGCCCTCTTCCTCCAGATTCGGAGAAGTATTGCCTGTTGACATGCCATCAGCACCAACAAGACTAGTAAGAAAAATGTAGTCACTTGACTTCTATTTTACCAGCTCAACCCTGCTCGTTGATTTTACTTCTCTAAACCACCAGGTTGGCTACATCTCAGAAAGTACAAATGGAATGATATGCCATCCACATCAAAACAATGATCATGATGGACCAATCAACTAGAAATGATTATTGTGACTATTGTGATGGTGAGTTCCTCTCAACCTTTCATCCTGAAATGCTTCGTGTTTCATAAAGGAAAGCCGGGTGACGAATAGCACAGAAATCTCTTTGCAGTGAAAAATCACACGACATCAGATGTCTGGAGAGACCTTAACCCTGAAACGCTATTAGGACCGTACGGCCCCTTTCAAAATAAGCTCCATGGGTAATAGACTCGTAATAGAAGGCGCTATTGGCATTTGAATCATGCTCAATACGTCTATAGTCTTCGCCTGATGCACCACCAAAACTCCCTCACGTCGGCGGCATCAGTCTGCTGTGAGACAGGAGCGAGCACCGTTGGGTACATTTTTCAAAAAATAAATGAATCATTAAAGGGTTAAGATAAATCACATTCCCTTCTGACATTTCCTAAGTAAACAAGATAGGAATTATAAGTTAAATTGAATTTTGGGTACAACATGCATATTGGAAGTTTCTAACAAGTAGGGATTAAATTTTAGTACCATGCATTTCTGCAGGCTATGCAGTCTACCTTCAATCTATCCTCAAAACAACAACGCGATGGAGAAATCTGGCTAATTAGAAATATTTCTCTACCTTGAATTGTCATCACCCAATCTACACCGCCTTCAAGTTAAATTTCATATTGATAAAATTAGTTGTTAGTATATAGTTATGACATGACTAAATTGAAGGAGATCGTGTTGGTCTCTCACCGAATGATCGAATATGCGGGTTGACCATCAGATTAGGACAAATCAAAAACTAATAATAGCCAAAAATATATCTCTATTTGCAAACTTGCTGTTCTAGTTTCCACAGCAAAGTCTGTGAATTTGTTCTTCTCACAGCGAAGTAATTTGGTGCTCAGTGCACCTCCTAAAATATGTGACTTTGGAGATTCGAGTCAATTCACATCTCTTTCTTGGACATCAAACAATCATTGGACGTCTATTTCACCATCGTTCCCTCCAGCTTTCATATGTTAAAGGAAGGCCCGCTCAACTGATGGTGGCATGGTAACCTGAAATACTTTCTTAGCTCCTCAAACAATCGGATTGAAATCGAATGTGACTTCCATTTGTGCGGGTCAAAATGCTAACATGACTGAGCCGAAGGATGTCATGCGCATTAGAACAATCCAGAAAGAGCGGCACCTCATCATCGCGAAGGCATCAAGTGTCACATCAGGGGGCGTGTGCGGTCTCGAGTGCAGAGACCTCTTAGCCAATCACCAATCAATAGTCAGGGTATGGCCAAAGTAGCCAAAATTGTATTTAATGACTAATCTCCGTGTCAGTGACACGCCGTTCAACTGCTCGTGTCTGCTTCCTCTGTGTTGCCGAGGCATATTAGCTAACTTCGGGAGCCTTTCCATACAGGGGGGGGGGATCATTGAGGATAGGGCTTATTATTGTAGCAATCCTCTACAAAATTCCTAATTTGTCACAGATCTTTCAGCTTAATTAACTAACAAAGAAGATGATTTTTTTTGCAATTCAGAATACACAGTAAAATAAACATTACATGAGTACGGATAGGGAGTTTACAACAATTAAATTTTTTTCTTTATAATTGGCCAGCAATAAAATTCTAAATTACTACTGATATAGTTTCGACAACCAGTATAGTACGTATTTAGACTATCTATGGCTTATAATGGGTATAAAATAGTCAGATATCCCATAATTCAAATAAAATATATTTAATTATTAAAAGACATAGCTCGATGATTGCAAATCCTTTAATTTAGGATCAAAGTAGTGATGGGCATATGCCCTAATCTGACCGAAAGCCCCATTGGGTCACTTTGCATGATTCCATGGAACTAGCAAGGATTGTGCGGCCTACCTCTAACTTGCAAAGTCCAAATTATCACAACTCCGGTTGCCGTAAGCTCAGAACTGAGCCTTATCCCCCTTCTTCCATTCCCAAATACCTCCACCTCCCTCACTTTTCTTCCTTTCTCTCCCAGTAATCTCCCTTTGTTCAATATGCAATGGTCAAGCTCAACTTCTGATCTTCCCATTTGGAAAGGTTATTGGGTTTACTTATCCTAAGGATGATAATCGATTTTGAAGCAGATTCTCAAAGCTATAGTAGCTTCGTTGTCGATTAGTGTATGTTAAAATGATTACTTCACTAAGCGGCGCATGTTGTATTGGGATGGGTAACAAATTTTGGTTACGCCTAAGATCACGTTAATAAGGCTTAGTGATCCCTAATTGTCTATGTTATTCTCATTTCCATTTTGCACCAGTCCCAAAAATATAAACAAACAGTGAGTTCGGAATTAGAATTATTCGCCAATTAAGCAGTGAAATTTTTAATCAATTTGCAAATGAAATTCTGGGGATAAATTCGTTCCATTTCCGACATCAGAAATCAGGTTAATTTCTCACGTTCCTCTATAAACGGAAGCCAGTCTGAAGAGTAAAAAAAGGATATACATTCATTTTGTTAATTCATTTTTGTTAAATATTTGGAAAAAAGGAAATAAAGAGTAGCGATACTCACCCGTGGTTTTCGCCCCTGTTAAAAAATGACAAATAATTAATTTGTTATTAAATAATTGAAAAGATATGGGTGTTGGGGGGGGGGGGGGTTGGTCAATGTTAAATTTAAAAAAAAACATTCTTGAAATTCATAAATAAAGTAAGTGTCGGATTTGATAGATCTCACAACTCGATTTACCACTTTTAAAATCTATACGAAAAGAACTACGTTAATCCCATCTCATCTCCCTGCTACGCAGGCATTATGCATGCAACTCTTGTTGTCAAACGCTGGTTTCTTCAATCTTCTTTTTCAAATAATTAGACAGCTAGTCAGTATGTTCAGCAACCAAGCGATGAATCATGAAAGCTTGACAATGATACGTGGAGTGCACAATAAGGTAAATGAATTAGGACTATGCATCTCGATTTTGTTCCTATTATCTTATTGATCTCCTCTCCCCTATCATCCGACTAAAGACGCTCCCCACCTCCCCCTCCCAAAACAATATTTTAGAACAGCGTCAATCACTCTGGCTATAATATACTGATAATCTAAAAGACCAAAGTACTCACTTGATCAAAGGGGGTGGTTCAGGCAAAGGCTTATGGAATTCATCATAACTTGTGAGCCAATAGCTCGTTGTTTTAAGTCCCCCGTCAAATTCCATTGGTCCTCGGTACTCGAAATGATAACCTCCAATTTTGTCTAGAACATCCTTTATCTGTTGACTAATATGTATTCTGAATGCTGATAAAGTCGACAAACAAACTTTCATTAGAGAGAGGTGGTTCAGAAACTCGATGTACTGATTGTTGCCTTTTTAGACTTACCAGCACCTGAGGACTCCATTTTAAGGGCTCGAATGACTGTATCTCCAAAGAGACAATAACGAGGCATTACCAAACCCACAACACCAGCTACGCATGGACCTAAAGTGAATTGTAAAATAAATAAAAGACTCAAGCGTGTATGGCTACAAGTCATTTCATATTTCATTAATGCCAACCAACCGCTATGGAGTCCGATACGCAGCCTAAGAGGTATATCAGGAAGATGCTTAATAGTGAAGGTTCCACATGCGCTCAGAAGATCCAGAGCTGTCAGAGCAACTTCTCCAGCATGTTTAATACCGTTGCGGACTGGCAACCCAGAGGCGACCATATATGCGTCGCCGATTGTCTCCACCTTGTATACGTCATAATTACTTATAATTTTGTCAAACAGGGTATAGAGTTCATTAAGCAAATCAACCACTTGTAACGGAGTTGACATAGCTGAGATGGTTGTGAATCCAACAATATCACTTAAGAATATTGATACCTCGTCATAGGTCTCTGGTGCGACAGAAATACCCGATTTCAAAGCCTCAGCAACAACCCTATTTAACGAGACATATATGGTCGAAGACAATATTGAGGCAACTTACGATGGCAACATACGACTAATGAGAATTTCATTTGTCCTCTTCTCAGTTTCTAACTCCTCTATTCGAGCCTGAACCTGCAGTTCAAGTTTTGTTGAATATACCTCCATAGTTTTGAACATGTGATCAACTATGTTGGTTTTCCTTTAAATAAACCCATTATCAATAAAAAGGAATATTCTTACTTTCCTTTCGATAACCTTTCGATTAGTCCATCTAATTCCTTAAATGTGGGTCTAAGACATGGATTTTCTAACCAGGATCTCTCCAGAATATTCCGATATTCTACTGGAATCCCTTGTTCTAAAAACTGAAACAAACAGACATTTAGTCACAACAGGAGAGGTCATGGCTGCTGTATCGCAAATAGCCTAAGAGAGAGAGAGAGAATACGCTTTCACTTACAAACCTTTGTAAATCGTCATTCCTCAAATTAAGTCAATTGCTTTACCAATCATTTAATACCTTGATTTGATTAGGAACTTGAATTAGACTTTGCTTTGGCGACCTCCTTTAGGTAACCCCAATCGATCCTTCAGATCGCCCAAATGCTTGCTTTTTTGTAATGTCTATTTATATTGCCTTGAAAGCAGCGGGACACAATAGATCCGCTTTCGAAGGAGAAATA